GTAATTTATTGAGTAATTACTGAGAATTTACTAAGAATTTATTGAGTAATTTACTTCGAATTTACTGAGTAATTTTCTTAGAATTACTGGGAATTTACTGGGTAATTTGCTGAGAATTTACTGCGTAATTTTCTGAGAATTTACTAGGAATTTACTGAATAATTTACTAAGTAATTTGCTGAGAATTTATTGGGAATTTACTGAGTAATTTACTGAGAATTTATTGAGCAATTTACTGAGAATTTACTGGGAATTTAATGACTAATTTGTTGAGATTTTACTGAGTAATGTATTAAGTAATTTACTGAGAAGTTACTGAGCGATTTACTGAGAATTAAATAAATATTATTGAGAATTTTCTAAGTAATGTACTGAGTAATTTATTGAGAATTTACTTAGTAATTTACTGAGTAACTTAGTTAGAATTTACTTAGAATTTATGGGGAATTTACTGAGTAATTTAATCAGAATTTATTGGGAATTACTGAGGAATTTACTGAAAATTTATTGAGTAATTTACTAAGAATTTACTAGGTATTTTTTTAAGAATTTACAAGGACTTTACTGAGGAATTTACTGAAAATTTATTGAGTAATTTACTGAGAATTTACTGGGTATTTTTTTTGAGAATTTACAAGGACTTTACTGAAAATTTACTGAGTAATTTATTGGGAATTTACTAGGAATTTAGTGAGAATTTACTGAGTAATGTACAAATAATTTACTAGGAATTTACTAAGTAAGTTACTAAGTGATTTACTGAGAATTTACAGAGAATTTACAAGAATTTTATTGGGAGATTTACTTAGTAATTTCCTGAGTAATGTACTGAGTAATTTTTTGAGTAATTTACTGAGAATTTATTAGGAATTTACTGAGTAATTTATTGAGAATTTACTGGGTATTTACTTAATAAGTTATTGGGAATTAACTGAGTAATTATTGAGTAATTTACTGGAAATTTGCTGAGTAATTTACAGAGGATTTACTGAAAATTTATTGGAAATTTACAAGTAATTTTCAGTTATTTACTGAGAATTTACTAGGATTATACTAAATAGTTTACCGAGAATTTATTGAGTAATATACTGAAAATTTACTGGGAATTTACTGAGAATTTCATAGGAATTTACTGAAAATTTTCTGAGAATTTACTTAGAATTTATTGAGAATTTACTGGGAATTTACGAACTAATTTACTAATAATTTACTTAGTAATTTATTTAGAATTTGTTGTGAATTTACTGAGTAATTTACAGAGAATTTATTGAGAATTTATGGGGAATTTATTGAAATTTACTCAGAATTTACTAAGAATTTAATGAGAATTTATTAAGTAATTTACTGAGAGTTTACTAAGTAATTTACCGAGTAATTTCTGAGAATTTACAAAATAATTTACTGGGGGGAATTTACTGAGTAATTTACTTAGAATTTACTGTGTGATTTACTGAAAATTTACTGGGAATTTATTGAGTAATTTACAGAGAATTAACTGAAAATTTACTAGGAATTTACTGAGTAATTTTCTAGGAATTTACCGAGTAATTAACTGAGAATTTATTGGGAATTTATTTGTAATTTATTGAGAATTTACTTGGAATTTGCTGAGTAATTTACTGAGAATTTACTTAGAATTTACTAGGAATTTGCTGAGTAATTTATTGAGAATTTACTGGGAATTTACTGAGTAATTTACTGAGAATTTACTGAGTAATTTGCTAAGAATTTCTAGAGTAATTTACGAAGTAATTTACTGAGAATTTACTGAGTAATTTACAGGGAATTTACTGAGAATTTACTAGGAGTTTACTAAGTAATTTACTGGAATTTACTGAGTAATTTAATGAGAATTTACTCAGAATTTTCTAAATAATTTACTAGGAATTTACTGAATAATTTACGGAGAATTTACTGAGAGTTTACTGGTAATTTACTGAGAATTTACTAAGTAATTTACTGATAATTTATAGGAAATTTACTGAGTAATTTATTGAGAATTTATTGAGCAATTTACTGAGAATTTACTGGATAATTACTTTGTGATGTACTAAGTAATTTACTAAGAATTTACTGGGAATTGACTAAGTAATTTACTGACTAATTTGTTGAGAATTTAGTGGATAATTTACTAAGAATTTACTGAACAATTTAATGAGTAATTTACTAAAAATTTACTGGAATTTACTGAGTAAGGTACTGAGTAATTTACTGAGCAATTTACTGAGTAATTTACTGAGAATTTACTGAAAATTTACTAAGTAAGGTACTGAGTAATTTGTTGAGAATTTATTTTGTAATTTACTAAGTAATTTAGTTAGAATTTACTGAGAATATACTGAGTAATTTAGTTAGAATTTACGGAGTAATTTACTGAAAATTTATTGAGAATTTACTGCGTATCTAATTAATTCGATCTGAATCAATTTTTAATTAAATTTCATAATGGACTCTAAAAATTACGCTAATCATAATAAAGTAATCAATTTTGGTTTATGTCCCCTTTACAGCTCTCAATTTCAAATTTTAGCAGGATTCAGAGCAAATTTTGATTCAAAACTCTTACAAAACACATAATTATCATTCAATTCACACGTGGCACATATCACAATTAAAATTAAACACATAATTAAATTAATGTAATCATGATATTCATTTTGGGGTCATTACACCTGCTCATAAATTGGCAAGCCAACCAATTATTTTGGCCCTGCTGCTCATTGAGTGGTCAGGCTAAAAAAGGGTTTTAGTCCTAATGTGGTGGAAGGCTTGGTTTTGAAGTTCGAAACTGAATTCTTTTGCTGAAGATTCGAAGAATTTGCACAATATAACTTTCATCATCGAGTGTTTGGATTAAAGCCGAAGTCTTAAGGACGGTCAAAATGGGGTGTCTACAGACTACTAGAAACAACTTTGGAATTTTAATCTTCCCCCTAAATGGGCTCTTTTTTATTTGGAAAATTTTATATAGAATTTTTCCAGTTAAGGTCTTTGTAACTTTCATCATCGAGTAGAGACTGATCTTAGTTGCCCACGATGTTTAGCAAATGAGGAATCTGTTGAGTATTTTTGTTTTCAATGTCCATACTCCCAATATGTATGGAGGGGCTCTCGGTTGGGTCTGGATTTTAATATTGGTGAAGTTGTGTTAGTCAAGTATGGCTGGAAAATTGGTTTAGGATGCTCCAAATGAGGAAGCAGTGGTAGAATCAATTGAAGTCTGGTGGGGTCTCTGGGATCAAAGAAACAAAGTTGTTTACGAGGGGGTGGTTGATAATCCACATCAGGTTATTCAAAATATCAATCAACAAGTGTGGTGTCCCAATGATCAAGAATGCCGAAAACTTTAGGGATGGAATAATTCATCTAGCAGCCCTTCTTGTAATTCAGATAATGCTTTTACTGCTGTTAACAATATGTCTTGGCTGCCAGATCCGTGTTTTGACAGGATTTTGATTGATGGAGTATGGATGAAGCACACAAAACAAGATGGTGTTGGATGGGTTGCTTTGGATAGTAGTGGTAATGTTGTTGCGTACAAACAATACACTTCTATGGCCCTCTTTGCGTTAATGACTGAAGTAAAAGCATGTTTTCAAGCTTTGCAATGGTGTGTCCAACAGCATGTCAAGGCTATCACTATCCTTACGGATTGTCAAGTGTTTTTATTCAAAAGTTTAAAAAGGTCGACACGACAGATTGAGAGATTATGTATGTATATCCAAGGCTCCTAGGAAGGTAGTGGAAGCAGCACATGTAGCTGCTAAGATTGCCTTCCATAAGAGCTAACTAATGTTTGTTACTTTTCATATTCTATAATATTTTATCTTTTCTCAAAATAAAAAACAAAAAACAAAATAAAAAACTTTCAAAAATCAATTTTAAAAAATCAAAATTCAATCTAAATGAAGCCCGCCCATCATCTAGCACAATAGAGAAACTCCAGGGTTGATTTGATAGAACACGAGTAACAGTAATAAAAAGTGGAATGAACTAAAACTTTATTTTCTTCTATGTATTTGGTTATGATGAAACTTTTATGTCTATACATGTATATATATATTTATTTATAATTACTACAAAAAATTTTATATATTTTTTTTTACATGAAATTAAAAGACTAGTTATCATATTAATATGGATTGGGCAAAAAAAATTAGGTTTCTTGCACTGTCCTAAACAAATGTTCAAATATAAGGTAATGCTATGGGTGTGTATCATATGCATGTCATAACATTTGTAAATTGAGAGACAGCAGAGGGAGAAGGAGAAAGCATGAATGCAAAACACGGGGCTGGGGGGGTTAAATATAAGTTCTAAAATCGTGGTTGTGAACCACGATTTCACTTAAAGAAAAAATATTTACCCTAAAATCGTGGTTACAAATAGCGAGTTCATCATAAACTCGTGGTTATGAACAACGAGTTCAAAAGAAATCTATTCTTTGATGAATTCGTGGTTTCAAAAAGCGAGTTCAGCACAAAAATTTTTTGGGATGAAATCGTGCTTGTAAAAAGCGAGTTCAAAGGAAAAAAAATTTAATTAAACTCGCGTTTCGTAACAGCGAGTTTCAAATTTGGCAGGTTTCGCACGACAGGGGTGGAAAAGTGTTGAACTCACGATTGTGAAACGCGAGTTAGCTCATTTTGGAAATTCTTCCAAAACTAGGCTTAGTTTAAGAATTCCTTTATTATTTTGGCTTATTTAGGGAAATGCCCCCTAATAAACCTAATATAGCCATTGTTATGTTACAACTTAAAAATCCAAGGTCTACGCGCTCTACACCTGTCCAGAGCCAAGTGAAGCATTGCTAATTGCCGGTAAATCTGTCGCGATCTACACGCTTTTTATGTTCATATTGTATGCAACATGATGGTTAACCTTGACAAACTTGTGTCCACTATGTAATTACCCAACAATTGTTTGCATAGATCACACTACACATGACCAAGTTGTGAAATTAACATTCAGTGTGCAAGGAAGGGAAGGGCATTTAAAACTCAAGGTGCCAGTGTTGTACTCGGGCAACTGTCCACAGTGCAGGCCAGGATGTCTCTATAATCCCGTGATATTCTGAATGAGTCGTAAACATTCCCATCCCTGCTTTTCTTGTACTCAAACAAAAGGTTTGAATGGTCGAATGCAGTGAGTTTTACGAATCCATAATCATGGTCTTTGAAGACACTCCACTTGGTTTGAAGGCTAGTAAAGTCCGCAAGGCTTGCTCCACCGCCCCCAGCAACTATATGAATTGTCCCATTCAAGCTACCCTTATAATAGTGCTTCTCGTCATTCGTGCAAATGTTCTGTAGCAACAAAAACAAAAACCACCACCAAAATGTTAGTTATAACTTGTAAGAGAGTAGAACAAGTTGATTTTATTTAAATCAACATCTGAAATATTTTATTTATTCCGTATTAAGTGAAAGCTTAACAAACCCCTGATGTTGTGAGAAAGACAAAATAGTCTGCTATGATTTCTCAATAATCATTTCTTTAGTTATTTCTAATAGAAAATTTCTTGAACTTCCTTTTCCCTTTCAGTTTTATCTTTTCTTTGGTAGAACCTGAACCATGGCACACCTTGCCAAAACATAAAGTAACACATGTTTTCAGCTACTGGAAACATAATATTCGTGCATCCGAAGAAATTATTTTAGTGAAGCTTTTGTCTCATATCAATCTTTTCCCTCTACACCTCCAGAACACCATTTTTCTGGTCATCCAAAGTCATTCTCCCAAGAAAGCAATCAGAGTTGTAGGCTAGTAGCAAGTATAAGCAAGCAAACTTAAAAATTGTCCAAAAGACATTTCCACTTTCAGGGTGTTTAGGAAGTTAGATGGAACAAAAGATGAGAGCCAACTTTTCTTTAGAGTGGTTCCAGGAAAAATATCTATATATATATAAACAGAGCATTCCATCATTTGATGTGTAGTTAAGAATACCTGGTAAATGGGACATGTCCTCTCATAGTTATGCACATGGCCATAGATGACTATGTCAACCTTGTACTTCTGCCAAAGTTTCTGAAGACTCTCCCTCCCCATTGGTTCCTCGAAGGATCCTTCATCAGCATACCAATCAGCAGAAGAATAACCCAATACTCGATGCGCAAGGAAGATCAGCCACAGTTTCTGAAGACTCTCCCTCCCCATTGGTTCCTCGAAGGATCCTTCATCAGCATACCAATCAGCAGAAGAATAACCCAATACTCGATGCGCAAGGAAGATCAGCCACGGTTGTTTTTGTCTATCAACGGATGCCAGACAGTGCTGAATGAAGTTAAATTGCTCCGTTCCCTCTCTCCAATCGTGTTCTGTATCAGCTAAACAACCGTGACACCCCTTATATAATAGGGGTAAAATAATTCTGAAATCACACTGTCACCTCTTATATAATTCATGAGCAAGAGTGTATCAGCTAAACATGAGCAAGAGTGTGAAGTAGTTTTTAAAGATATTAAATAGGGTAAAATACAGTGACACCCCTTATATAATTCTGAAATCACACTGTCACCTCTTTATTATCCAAAATCACCCTGACCTCCCTTGTCAGAGAACTCAGTTAAATGACATGATAAAATGATCATAATATCCCACCCTCCCATACACTTTTGCAGCCCTTTTCTTTCTTCTCTCTCTATTTTTCTCTTCATTAATATGACACAACTCACCTTCTGAACTTGAACCACCATTCCCACTACCTCACAACTCCATCATGGACCATTCTCTTTATTCTTCTCTCTCTTCCCTCTTTCTTATATTTGTCCTAAAACAGGCAAACGAACAATTGGTGTAGCCATTCGTCTAAACCAGACTAGTCATCCATCTCATCTGCAAGCATGATTGCCGACAATTGCTCTACTGATTTTCTGTCAGCAATGATTGTCAGCATCCCATCAACAGTCACCTTCTTCTCATCTGCAACTGTGATTGTCGCAGCCGCGTAGCCTTATCATCCACCACCAGCGCAACCCAACGCAGCCCCAATGATGATTTCCGCAGTCGTCCAACGCAACCACAGTGAACCCATCGTCTATGGAAGCTCATTGTCCACCATGAGCCACATACCCACCATCTCTCTCTTCTTTACCATATTCTCTGTAAATCACCGAAATAAGGTTTGATTTATATGTATGATTTTGTAGGTTCTGGTCAAATTGTGTATAATTCGGTTCATTTTGGGTGGTTGGGATGGGGATAGGATTGGGTTTGGAGCAGTGGGAGTTGAAGAGTGTGGAATTGTAGGTATGGAGGGGCTGGTGGTTTGGGTTGTGGATGGTTGAACTATGGGCGTGGAGGTGTCGTGGTGGGTTAAGGTGGTTTCTGATGGAGGAAGGGGCTAGTGAAGGCCATGAGTTTTGAAGATGCTTGAAGGACCTCCTTCACATGCCTTTGCCATTACAATGCACCACTCTGTTTCACATTGTATAATTTTCAGGATACACTTTCAACAATAATTTAAGTGTTCTTTCATTTTTCTTTGCCAATTTATTGTTTGATAAAATGTATGAACCGCAAAATGTCTTTGTTTTTATTATAGTCTACATGATCATTTACATTCAATTCAAGCTGTAAGTATGCTTTTAGTTATCTAATGAAATGCCTTAAGTTAATTCTTCTTTTAATTTTTGTTCTAATTTGTTCTGATTGATCAACTCATCTCATTCTTCTTTTAATTTTTATTTTTGGGGGGGGGGGGGGGGGGGATAGACTAGAGGATGGGAGTGGTGGGAGTTGTGGATGGCTAATTCTTCTTTTAATTTTTTTGTTTCTTAGAATTTTTTTCCTTTAGCTAGAATGAAGGATGAGAGTGGAAGGAGCTGCTGGGTGGCCATTGAAAGTGGAGGCATGAAATATATTTGTTGGGATTAGCAATTTTCGTTGGTCAACAAACGGTTGACTCACGGATGGATGAGATTGATACTCTAATATCAAAAAGAAGGGAGGGGAGTGATATTTAATAGAATAAAGGGGGTAACGGTGTTATTTCACAAGTATACAAGGGGTGTCAGTGTAATTTATTAAATAATGATCTTGAGATAAAAGAAGATGTTAAGTATGGGAGCCTATAATTGCACCCACCAAATTTCTCAGTAGAACCGCATCATGTTTAAGGTACAAGAGTTTATGCATATGGTCATGGTCCAAGAATTGTGATGCATGAAGTGGATGTACTGAGGAATTTAGCGGGTGCATTTAGAAGTTCCCAATAAGTATGCATCGTGCTTCTGCAATAGGCAAAGCAATAACTAAACTATTCTACCTGGGGTGTTGATCCAAATATTGATGATATACAGTCTGTTTAATGAATAGCCAAGCATATTTGTGTATGTACAATATAGGTATTATCAAATGGCTACAGGTTAAAGGATTAACTAAATGTAAAATTAACATCCATAGTGAACAACTTTAATATAGTTCCATACCAAATCCCAAAAAAAAAAAAAAAAATCAGTTAATTTTAACCAATGGTCCAACTTCTTTCCAGTTATGACAAGACCAAAGCAATATGCGTCCATGGGACCTATACAAGGTCCATGTCAATGATTTGAGTCATTCAGTTTTTAGGTGCCTGTGTTTACATTATCCATGAATAAAAGATGGATGGTCTATTTTCAAAATATACTTGCCATTCATTTTTATTTTTATTTTATTGTTAATTTTTAAAGACAAATTTGATGGAATCATGTGCGTATTGTTGAAGATAAAATTATATTATTAAAGATTTTAAAGATATTAGAATATATGGAGATTTCATGATTTGTGCTTATCATGATTTTTCCTAACTTTAATTTCTCTTAATCCCTTAACTGAAGGGATCTGATTGTCAAAAACATGGTGTAGGATAAATAATTACAAAGTAATGGATGTACAAGTGAATTATGCATTGGATTGTGAAAATAAAACTTGTTTTTCCTACTCTCCATGTTTTTCATATTCCCCCTTGATTGTATCTCTTATTCTATTTTTATGGTGTATAATGTAATTAGGATAATCAAGTGAATGAATGAAAGATGGAGCCCATGGAGTTTTGTGTGTGTGGATGTAGGTCAATATTGGCCGAACCACATTAACCATTTGTGTTCTTTCTTTATCTTTTCTGTCTCTATTATCTCTGCATATTCAACTTTATTTTCTTATTACAAAATTCAACTTGGTATCGAAGCATCTGATCCTACCCTTCCGAATTTTGACGTATTTTTAGACCTTTTTTGGCCCTATTTCATTCTGCTCTCCTGCTCTCTCCCATTTGATTTCTTCATTAGTTTTTCTTCCTTGGGTGTCAACTTGGCAAAGGAAGGAGTTCCTTCCAGTTTGTTTACTGCCTTGTTGCTTTCCAGCACTCCTTATTGTTCAATTTTGGTGGTTTTGTGCTTGGATGTCCTACCCAATTGATTTCTTCTGAGGTACATGTTCTCTAGGTGTTGATTTGATCCCTAGAGTGGTTTTGTGGTCATGGTTTGTTGATAGGCTTCAGCTTGCCAAGCCATCCTTGGTTGCTGGCTGGTTTTCTTCACGACAACTGTCTCTCTTGTTGTTTCTGTTGATGCCCTTTGTTTTATTTGGGCTTGAAAACCCTTGTTTGGGTGCTAATTAGGCTTATGGACCCCTGTATTTGGAAACCCTTCCCTGGGTGTTGTTTTGGTCTCTAGATTGGCTGTTTTTTGGTGTTCTTGAAGCTTGTTAAGGTTCAGTTGTTACTATTTCTTGTTGCTTCTCCCTCAATTTGTCATTTAGGGAGAGAATAATCTCTATTTGCACAATGTTGATTATGTTTGTATTGTGTCTGCACGAAGTTGATTCCATGCACATTTCTTTATTGCAAGATGTTGATTCCTTACCTAGGTTCTTCCAAGTCGTTATTGAGGGGAGAAATCACAATTGTTGTCGTTTTTTGACAACTTCATTGTAACTGTTTGTGATGATCATCCTATTTTCAAGTTCAAGTTCAAGTTGGACACATCACTTCAAATGTTTTGTGTTCCAACTTGAAGGGTGAGTATTGAAGATAAGAGCATATTCTTAAAGATATGGAAAATATTAGAATATATGAAGATCTCATGATTTGTGATTATCATGATTTTTGCTATCTTTGATTTCTCTCAATTCATTAATTGAAGGGATTTCAACCTGGTTTGTTCAGAGGCCACTTCCAGCATGGCTTGATAGTCACTATTATGGGGAATCGAGGCTCTTTGATTAACCATGGGAGAGACTGAGAGATGTGAGGGCAGTTGGCATGGTTTGGTGGACTCTCATTGTTTATAGATGTTGTGCTTGCTAGGATTCCTCCATGGGGCTAGATTCTTTCTTCTATGTCATGGCATGTCCTGGCTATGAGGCGGTGTTTGTTTTTGAGTACCGTAGGCCTTGTCTACTATTTCAGATCAGTTCGTTGTATTCCTAAAATTGACCATGCAGCTTCATGTGACACATAGGTGATGTTCTTATGCCACTTCCGACATGACTTGAGAGTGATTGAGAGGGTCACTGCTATGGGGAATTGAGGCTCTTTATCAGCGGGTCATTGCTATGGGGAATCGAGACTCTTTATTAGTCGTTGTAGAGACTAGGGGTTGCGAGGACAATTCGTGGGGTATGGTTGGTTGCGCTTGTTCTTACAGACGATGTGCCCATTGGTCTTGTTTGTTGTCTGTAGCAACAAAAACAAAAACCACCACCAAAATGTTAGTTATAACTTGTAAGAGAGTAGAACAAGTTGATTTTGACAGGATTTTGATTTGAAATATTTTATTTATTCCGTATTAAGTGAAAGCTTAACAAACCCCTGATGTTGTGAGAAAGACAAAATATTCTGCTATGATTTCTCAATAATCATTTCTTTAGTTATTTCTAATAGCAAATTTCTTGAACTTCCTTTTCCCTTTCAGTTTTATCCTTTCTTTGGTAGAACCTGAACCATGGCACACCTTGCCAAAACATAAAGTAACACATGTTTTCAGCTACTGGAAACATAATATTCGTGCATCCGAAGAAATTATTTTAGTGAAGCTTTTGTCTTATATCAATCTTTTCCCTCTACACCTCCAGAACACCATTTTTCTGGTCATCCAAAGTCATTCTCCCAAGAAAGCAATCAGAGTTGTAGGCTAGTAGCAAGTATAAGCAAGCAAACTTAAAAATTGTCCAAAAGACATTTCCACTTTCAGGGTGTTTAGGAAGTTAGATGGAACAAAAGATGAGAGCCAACTTTTCTTTAGAGTGGTTCCAGGAAAAATATCTATATATATATAAACAGAGCATTCAATCATTTGATGTGTAGTTAAGAATACCTGGTAAATGGGACATGTCCTCTCATAGTTATGCACATGGCCATAGATGGCTATGTCAACCTTGTACTTCTGCCAAAGTTTCTGAAGACTCTCCCTCCCCATTGGTTCCTCGAAGGATCCTTCATCAGCATACCAATCAGCAGAAGAATAACCCAATACTCGATGCGCAAGGAAGATCAGCCACGGTTGTTTTTGTCTATCAACGGATGCCAGACAGTGCTGAATGAAGTTAAATTGCTCCGTTCCCTCTCTCCAATCGTGTTCTGTATCAGCTATGCAGAATCGAAACATGCCATAATCAGTGGAATACCTGGCAGCAAGAACATAATAGCACTTGAGCCAGTAGTTCCTTGTAAATCTAGAAACGAAGGAAATTTGGTGGAATGTGCACTGAGGTTGGACGCTTATTAATTTTACATATAAATCATTTCAAAATTAATTTTCTATGGCCAAGAAGAAAATCTGTGGACACAACAAGCATGAGCAAGAGTGTGAAGTAGTTTTTAAAGACATTAAATAGGGTAAAATACAGTGACACCCCTTATATAATTCTGAAATCACACTGTCACCTCTTTATTATCCAAAATCACCCTGACCTCCCTTGTCAGAGAACTCAGTTAAATGACATGATAAAATGATCATAATATCCCACCCTCCCATACACTTTTGCAGCCCTTTTCTTTCTTCTCTCTCTATTTTTCTCTTCATTAATATGACACAACTCACCTTCTGAACTTGAACCACCATTCCCACTACCTCACAACTCCATCATGGACCATTCTCTTTATTCTTCTCTCTCTTCCCTCTTTCTTATATTTGTCCTAAAACAGGCAAACGAACAATTGGTGTAGCCATTCGTCTAAACCAGACTAGTCATCCATCTCATCTGCAAGCATGATTGCCGACAATTGCTCTACTGATTTTCTGTCAGCAATGATTGTCAGCATCCCATCCACAGTCACCTTCTTCTCATCTGCAACT